CAGGCGGCTGAAGAGATGCTGCGTCAGACGCGATCATCTTGGTGCGATCTGCCCTGCTGACCAATCATGCAATCCTACTTGAACGGCCTTTACTATTTGAGGGTGTACTGCATGTTTACTGAGTTCTTATATATGTATATAAATCCCACACTCATGTACGGTTCATTTCTGCTTCTTCCCTGTCATCGCGCCATCCCCCCGGCCTTCGCATTACCAGTATCGCAAAAAGGACGTGAAGCGTATCGGAAAGTGGTTGCACATGACGAAATCCAAGGAATTTGAACGCTTCGAGTCGGACGGTCGACCATTTGAAGAGGTTGGTGTGTTGCTATTTCCTCATCTCATACGTACCCTCTTTTCCTCCTTGATAAACACTAGTGTGGTAGTTTCCGTCTATTTGCCCCAGCCAACTGTCGAAGAGTAGAGGCAGATCATATATGCACCACGAATTTTCCTTGCCCATTTGGAGTAATCAGAACACCCAAATGGGGCATGGTCACTTCCCCGAGCCAGGCAGACGGAGCGGGAGGATAGCCTGCGCTCTGAGCAGACAACGAGTTCTGCTGATCTTAAATTTAGTAAGGAGGTCTGCATGGACCATGCGTCTTTCCAGGTCGCATTAATCGGTCTGCTGCGCGAGTTCTCGGGCGTAGGACACGTCCAACTCATCAGGGGGTAGATCTTACAGTTGCGGGCACTTCACGGGGAGTGGGGTGCTGAGCAGGCGCTTTGGTACCCATAGGTGTTATGTCAGATTTCAAATAATTCCTATTGACCCAACTGTGAAAAACTCGGTGCCTCGTTGGGATTCGAACCCACGATAACAAGGGGAAGGCTTTAGTACAGCCAACGCTCTATCCACCTGGGCTACTTAGGGAATCCTGCTTGGGCAACCAGCCTACTGTGTCAAATTGGGGTGTCAGGTGGGGCCTCGTAGCTCAGGTGGCCAGAGCGTTGGCTGTACTAAAGCCCCCCCCCCTTGCTGTCGTGGGTTCGAATCCCACGGTTGGGTCAATATGAGTTATGTTTTCACCAGTTATTACCACTAGATGCCTGGGTCCTTTTTGCACATTTCTGACAATTAGGCCTGTCGCATAATCGAGCAAGACTGTGACCCAACTAACCGGAATCCATCATATCGTCAGAAAGGCTTTTTCGTCTTTGTCGAGCTTGTTTTTTCTTTTCGGTGGAATCCAAATTAGCTATCCTAGTGGCAGTTTAACTCTGTCCCACTGATTGTCCTCCCAACGTTGGTTATCCAGTTTGTCGAACCGTAATTGCCCCTGTTGCTGGACGAAAGTCTCGGACGCTAACAGCCTGAAACCGTTTGATGCCATCTCTCCTGCCTCATAAGATTGTCACAGACGGTCAACCCAGCTCTCCTCTCCCTGGTATGGCATTCCTGGTGAATAAGCTCAGGTTTGTTTATCAAAAACCCTAGCAAAACTAGCTAAACTCGGAGTGATTGTTAATTCTGGTTCAAATCACTTGACAGTTCTGTGTGTCGGCACTAGTCCTTAAATCTGAGTTCAGTTTGCCGTGTATCATTTTTGCCTAAAAAGGATCCTCCACACAAGTACATTGCCTTAGATGCAGTTAGGCTTTCCCGTTTTGAAGTAGACAATTTTTTTCAGGGGACCTGAGTTTTCCAACCCTCATCCTTCCTCAATTACTGTGCAGCCGCGCCCATTCTTTGAGAAATGGACCAGACAGCACTTCAACTCCGATGCACCGCATCTGGTCAGCGCAAACAAAAGCACACAACCATGACTGTGGAACTTAGGACTCAGAACTTGCCCTGAAATCATTGTCTACGTCCGAGTTCATAGCTATTCAGCCTCCTCGACTGGGCATGCCTGCATTAAGGTCACCCCTTTGGTACAAGTACGCTGTCAACTGGAGCCTAATGACTCCAGCGTTGCTGTGCCGAGGGATACTAAGTTTTCCAATGTACGAGCTTCGTTACCGTGTGCTGAATGTTCAAAAGCCCGACTGGAATCTCAGTGTACAGCACGTGGAGTTCTTATCAACCAGTTGTCTGCCAGCACAGACGTGCGTAGCTAGAACCGAAGTGGAGCATGTGGTGGACTGGAATGTTCAGGTCAATTCCGTCTACTTTCGTGATCTGATATCTCTAAATTTCTCGGGTAGAGCACTCAGACCGAAGCAGGTCCCAAATTTCCTAGATCGTAGGATGCGCGCGCGCGCGCGTCTGATTTCAGTTTTTTGAACGCTTATCACACTGGAAAAGTAAGAGTGCGCTGATTGGTCGAAATGAGGACAGTTTGGTGCAACTCAGTCGCGAGTCAAACCTCTTGCAATTGTGCCATGAACGCCGGCGAAACACCAACCTCAGAATTTAACTAGTGCTCCTGTTGGGAGTATGGCGTACCACAGTTCTGGTCAGCCGAACTTCTCCCCGCGCTTTAGAGGTGGCCGACGCTGAAACCCATTCAACACACAGCCCCTTGAGCCTGTACTGCGAGGCAGCTTTCAACGCGCGGACTCCGCCACATTCACTCATCATTCAGTAATGCGCTGTAGCTGTTTTATCTTCTTCTGGATTTCTATTTGGAAGTAAGTCGAAAAAAACACCGGTCAGAACGCCCAAAATGCTGAGAGCAGCAATCGACTGTTTTGAAAGTTTTCTAGTGTGCTTCTTTTGAAAGACAATTAAGTATTTCTGGCCAGGAGAAGAACGCTATTTATGCGAAAGAAAGGGCTTTGACGGGGATTGGAAAGCAAAACAGTCCCACGCAGTGTAGCTCTAGTCCGAATTTGGTTCCATACCCAGAACAGTTTGATCGAGTATATTTTATTATCATCTTAAGCCTTTTTTCCTCTTTCACGACCTTCTGGCTTGATGCTTTCGAAGATCCGAGGTTGCATGCATCGACTTTTCTCCCCCCTCCCCCAAGCTCACAACAGGCATTATTTGAGCCAGCGTTGGTTTCATGAGATTGGACCGATGTGAGACAGTGCGACTACTTCATTTCTCACGCAACAGTTCGCACGGTAGCTGCGCACACCCAACCCATCGCTAGTTGTGTCGATCTAGCCGCTTCCTGCCTGCCGGGCGATGATGGATCTAAACGCTGACACAATCTACTGCCCCCGGAATAGATTGCACATTATTGACAGTGCACGGGCCTACCTTTTCTTCCCGGCATGGCTTTCTCTTTCCATACAACAAGCAGCTCAGCCCACTCGCATTAGCAGCTCGGGGCACCGCTCTCAAAGCTGAAAACCGAAACCTAGGAATCTTGAACGCTCGGCTTCTGCTGCAAGCGGAGGCTTTGGAAACGGTGTCTTTGTTCACTTCAGAGAAAGGAATAAGTAAAAGCCTTGTTAGTACATGGTTGGCTGAAGTGTGGTGGCTAGTAGCAGGTCCACAGATCCTTCGAACAGTAATTTTGGGAAACTGTTTCAAAAAGCGAGTTGGTAGCACATGCACCAAGGCAACAATTCCAGAGCCCAGAGTGACTGGGGACATTAATAGGACCTTTTTTTGCTAACCCAGATCGCCAGCGGTTGATTTGAAGCTCCAATCTAATAAAGAACCAAGTGCCCAGATTTTCCTAATTGGGACGTCGCTCTTGCGGATAGTTAGTATGATCAAAAGACCCGATTGGAATTATTTTTACATCATCGGCGTGGTTGGGTTATTAATGTGGGCATCCAACCTTCATCTGCGGCGGAAAAGGCCGGGGAAATGCGACCATCCACTCAAACATCAGGACGTTATTGCAAACCAGTATAGCCAACAGACAAAACCAAGAACCGCCTGTATGATGGGTCTAAGTGGAGCCCCGAATGCAAGCACCTAATCGTTGACGCAGCTTGATGCCAGCGGAATAGGTTGTGTTGTTGCATAGTATATTGGGTGCTCTATTGCTCACCAAAGTAACCCGAACCGAGCCCCTGCCTTATCCATTTCGGTAACCGATGTGAGACAATACGACTACTTCAGTTCTCACGCGACAGTTCGCACGGTGGCACCGGAACAGTCTGTCCGTTTCGAACTCCTGCAGCAGCACATCGTCAGAGGTATTAACTAGCATCCCCTATCATTGTCGCCCGTTCTGTTGTTGCTGCCATCTTTGAGGATGTACACCGCAAGTTCGAGAGCTCAGAAAAATAAACAGACTGTTCTGATGTTCAAACGGTCACCTTTGTTACTTATCCAGAAATGGCCATACAAGTCTCCCTTTCCTTTGCCGGTAATGCTATTCCGCCTATTTTATGCGCCGCTGTGTCGCTGCTGTCAGGGCTCGAGAGAGACAGGGAGCCCCAAGACATAAAGGGAGGAGTGAGCTTTGTAGCGCGATTGGTGAGCGCCCCTCTACCATTTTCTTATAAATTTCTTTCTGGATGAAGTCTATCAACTGGCGTCAAAATAAAAACTACTATCATTATCTTGGCGAAGATGCGAATTTACTACGGGACCTCCTCCTCCTCCTCCTCCTCCTCCTCCTCCTCCTCCTCCTCCTCCTCTCACCTATCGGTACTGACAGTCATCGCTGCCATTTCTGTCGAGCGTTCTCGCTAAATCGTCAAACACACACGACTTGCTTTTGTTTTCCCATCGGCTGAGGTCAAGTGTAGAGACAGTCCTCTAAAAACAAGTTTGCAGTATTTTGGCGCAGGATTGCCAGGTAATAGCAGGCTGCAGTGTTTACAGGCGCCTCTGCCAATTGGTCGGATTGACGCTGCGTCCTTGAAGGATCACCTGCAGGCCTGGGCATTGCTTGCTTTCGGGCTTCGCTTTAGAGCCATCAAACAGACGCTCCTATAGATTCCATCTTTTCGCGCGTAGGGGGTTTACATTGATGCCTTGGTGTTTGAGCGAATGGTTACGTTTCTTCGAGCCCCTCCTGCAGCAGATAAAGACCAGATGGTCATTTCCTCCGAGGATGAAGTGATGAAACCGATGGACACAGGATCAACCGTATGCTTACCCCAAATACAGTAAATCTGGTGTGTTACCTCAGCACGAAGCGCTAAAAGTACCAACAACCAGCTGCCTCCTCCCTCTTCTTCTTCTTCTTCTTCTTCTTCTTCTTCTTCTTCTTCTTCTTCTGCTTCGTCGTCTTCTTCTTCTTCTTCTCCCTTTTGCGGAGTGAGAGTCGGGCTGCTTTATGGTGCCTTTATGGTGACTCCCGTCGCTGAGAGACCCGATAACTCCCGCGACCCGATTCGGATACGTACAAGGACCAGCAAGTATGTGTGTGTGACCTCTGTGGAGGGGGATTCAGCCACATCAGCGACTGCACCCAGGCCCACCTGTCATCTTTGCTTTGCTTTGCCATCCGATTATGATGAGAATGGACAGACAAAGAGAGAAGTCTGTGCTGCGCAAGTCATTGCTGTGCCATTTAGACGGTGTTGGTCCTCGTGGCTGCGGGCTAATGAATTCCTGTCTGCATTTATGGTTGTGGTCTGTGCACACCCATCTTTTTAGTCTAACTTTTCTGGAATTGTCGTGTCGAGACTTTTAGTTAAGTGGCGCAAGGTGCAGCCGCTGCTGTCGGTCAGCGCGTGTGACCTTGGCGTTTAGAAGGATGAAGACTCAGGCATTGTTTGTCACCTTATCGGCGCAAATACACGCTCCAGTTCATCTACAGGGTCGCCTGCACGGAAAGTTAACAATCAAGGTGTGGGCGCATATTTATTCAGTGGGGGCGAGTTAAAGTGCAGATGTTTTAATTCCTTATTTGTATTTTCTGTTCTCACCTTTCAGCTCATCTAGCACTTTTTGGGCTCTCCGTCTTGTCCTGCTCTCCCAGGCTTTTTATTTGATGAAGTCGTTGAATATGCTCTTTCAATCTGCCTGTTGATACCTTAGTGTCATGAATAGTCACCTGTTTACCCTTATACATTTCTTTTTGCCCATATATATTAACAATGGCAAAGGCGCGCGCACTGATCACGTTAGGGAACTCTCCTTTGGGCCTCTCTCTCAGGCCCCGCTAGAAGCCGCAAAGCGGCGCGTGGTATTGACAGAATAGCATTACCGGCCAAGACAATGGAAACTGGAATGTCTATTTCCGACTCATTAGCTGTCATCAGCCAGCCATACCTAGTTCAGGGGGGTTGCATACCTCGGGGTGGGGTATAACTGGTTGATAACAGCTAACAAGCCGGAAATGGCCATTCCAGTCTCCCTTGTCTTTGTCGGTAATGCTATTCTGCCTATATCATGCGCCGCTGTGCGGCTGCTGGTTGGGCTCGAGAGGGAGAACCCGTCAGGGACAACGGAACGAGTGAGTTCCGTAATGCGATCGGTGCACCTCCTTCTACCATTAATAATACGCCCAATCGCAGCCTACAGGGAAACGAACTCGTAGCTCAGTGGTCAGAGCGTTGGACTTCTAACCAACAGGTCGTGAGATCAGACCTTATAAATTCAAACATATTTCATAGAAAACATGCATAAAATACTTATTCTTTTGCTCATTTGGTAAAAAATTACACCTTCTTCACATTTTATACCTGAAGGCAGGGTATAATTTGGTTTTTAAAGTTTCTAATTATGAGATTTTTTAAGATCGTGAAATGCCCGTTTATGAATCGTCGTGTCTCTACATTTACTAATGTTGCTTGTAAAGTTTACAATATTTTCAAATCCACTGCTGGCTTTTAGGAACTCTTTATGGTCTCCTCTTAATACCTTTGAGAAATGTATAGTTCTCCGTACACGGAAAATATCCAGCTTGTAGTTGGAAACCCTGAACGCAAGTCTAACGGCAGGTCGACCTCAAAATTATTCGGGAATCGGAAATGTGTTTTTAAAACTGAATTATACCCTTCCTTCAAGTACAAAATTTAAAGTAGCCGAACTTTTCTACCAAATGAGTAAAAATGAATGTTTTTATGCATGCTTTCTATGAAATACATTTGACCTTATAGGGGCATCGATAGTCAATGAGAAAAATTCATGCTACTTAAGTAGCAATTTTTACAGAACGTAGGTTTTGCAGGCGGCCTGAAAGAAGTTCGCTCAAATGCCGGCATCGTGAAGTAACTGAATTATCATGGGATTATGCTGCAGGGTAATTAATATTGCAACTCTAATTAAGCAGTTTTTTCGAGTCGAAAACCGACTTCAGAATTTCGGTTAACGTTTCATGAGTTAGCACATCTACTGCAGTTAAATCTATATTGAATGACGCAGCCAGCCGCTTCACGGTCATTATCGATCGTCATGAACCTGATGTATATTTTCCAGGAATAGGTGGGATTTTTTGGGATAAAAATAACATTTATTGCATTAATTTCCTAGACAGGTTCCCTAGCTCGTCAGACTTAGGGGTAATGCCCAATACAGCCACCTACTTAACCGCGTCAAGCAAGTGATCCTGCAGCTGGCCGAAGTCTGCGCCGATGCACGTTATTTGTATTATGTCACCCCTGCGGCATTGGCTGCACCTCTAGCATTTGCCAGTGGGAAATTCCTACGTGGCATCTAAGTCTATTAGCCGATTAACACATGGCTCCCCTGAATGCATTGCTCCCAGCAATTCACCGACTCTCCTTACTGGGCAGGCGCCAAGTGTTCTCCCACGCAGATTTATGTCCACTGTCCAGTGTGTGCATGGCCACCTGAGATGGATGATCTCGTCTCCTCACCGCTAACTGATGTTTGGGTATACGGCTTGAGACAGATTTCTCAGACAGGCTTCCGAGACAGGTTTCCACAATTTACAACACCAAAACCGGCACATGAGATCTTGCAGAATCTATAACTTTCTGCAGTTAACCCGAAAAGGGGTGCTTACAGTGCCCAGGTAGGGCTATTCACCCGGAGTAGTCAGCAGTCGCACTGAATTCCTGACTGCTTAAGGTCATCGTGCGCCCAGCTGCCGTCTTTGACATCGTAAGGCTGTGTAAAGCACAGCGATCACGACCCCGCGTCAACTTCAACTTGCTGGCAGAACCAGGTTGTCTGTGTGTCTCCAGCCACGACTAATTCATGTTTGCAATTTGGTGAGGTAAGAGACGGGGAAAGGGAGCGGCCGCTGTCATGCCATGCGTATATGGCAACTGAATCCCTGCGTCGAAACCGCTCTCCAGCCCTGTTGACCCAATCGTACTTTACTTTGGGGAGGAGGATGAGGATGAGGATGAGGAGGAGGAGGGGAGGAGGGGGAGGAGAAGGAGGAGGAGGGGGAGGAGAAGAAGAAGGGGAAGGAGGGAGAGGAGGAGAAGGAGGATGAGGAGGAGGATGGGGAGGAGGAGGAGGAGGAGGAAGATCGATGCGGCGCATGTCACCAATGTTGCCTCGGTAATCGTCGTCTTCGACAGACGCGTCCGGGATAAAATTACGTGGAATGAACCTGAGCAGGAAGCAAATAGTTAGGTGGAAGCAGCGTGTATACAAAGGGCGGGAGGGTCGTTAGTTAAATAAGTCGGGCTTTTGGTTTCCGGACATCTGCTTCCTGACAAGGAAGCTGGCTAGGCGATTACGCTGCGCATAACCTCGGGATGCGCGCCCTGGCGGCCTGTTGAACGAAAGCACTCCGCTGCCTTTAGAACTCTATGGAACGGCAGTATGTCTATTCTCATTAACTTATTATTTTATTGCAGTTCCCTCGCTGAAAGTCTCCTTGAAAGACGACATCTGCCAGAATAGAAGAAGGTATATGGGCAACAGTGGAAAGAATGCGAAGCAGACTTCTACTCTTATGGAACAACAGAGTAAGAGGAGCGGTGTATGGATCAACCAACGGGACGAAGAAGTATTCGATTGTTTAAAAGTTTCACCAGACAGCGAAAAATCAGGCTGTAAAACAAGGTCCAGCTGTCAGAAAGATTAGGCTTCATGACGTGTTCGGGTGTTGAAAGAGCCCGCAAACCACTTTCTAATTACCAAACCAATACAATGATTAAGCACACCCTTGAAGACTTGAAAACTTTACCCATTCCCGTTCTTCAGTGGTGCGGGCACTAACGAAGAAGAGGGTTCTGGAGCGGGTGCTGTTTGCTTCCTTGTAGTTTTGTTCGTTAGCTGTGTCCCAGAATTGACCAGGAGAGTCCTGAGTTTGAATCGAAGTCGGTTGTTTCAGGAGTAGGACATCAGAACTCAAAGGCTGGTGATCGACCTTCGGATAGGGGTCTTTACTCACCTTGTTCGAATGTCGAATCAGGTACACACACAAATTCTCTGTCACTGTAACGTGCGGTCACAAACTGAGGGGCAGTCAGTGAGGGGCTAAGCATAGGAGGGCCGGAATTGCTATTTTCGACTTATTTACCCCCTATTAATCGACACTAGGTTGAGAAACGTGTTCTCGAAATTAGGCCAGATCGGCCAGTTCCGCGGCTAGTCAGAGCACCTGTGTCCGCTGCCGACTCATTTAACATCCGCAGATCCAGACGTGGACCATTTGAATCCAAGTTCCTACTTTTTATCTTCCGATCTCATTTCAGTGTATCTGCCTTTTGAAAATTTCTAAAGAGTTCGCACCCATCGGCTCCTGCAAATTCTTCAGGCGACTGTAGGGGATATCGTCGATTTAAACTCAGTCGCGTGAGCGTAGCCCTTTCTAATCAACTTAATCTTCCTGGAATAAATCCCAGGAAAAAAGTTACAGTGAATGATCTATCTCATGAAATGTTGGCTGAAATTCTGAAATGCGTTTTCGATTAGGAAGGATTACTTGGTTGCGGTTATAATACTGATTATCTTAAGGCATACTCTTATAACATTTTGGACTCGGCAGGATGTCGGCTTTTAAATGCACTTAGTTTCAATCTCCTATAGAAAGCGTGCTCGGTAAAAAATGACTACTTAAGTAGCATGCATTTTCCCCATTGATTTTCCGTGGTCTTGGAAAATCAAATATATTTTATAGAAACCACAAACACAAATATGCTTTCTTTTAGTCAACCAATAGAGAATCACGTCTTCTTTATATTTTATACTTAAGGAAGGAGTATAATTAGGTTTTAAAAAAGTTTCTAATTATGAGACTTTTTAAGACCGCTATATGTCCATTCACATAGCATCGTACCTGGCCGTTTACCACTGCTCCTCATGAAATGTACAACATGGTCCGCATCCATTGCAAAATTTTATGGACCCTGTATGATATCTCTTTAATGACATAGAAAAATATGGGATTTTCTTTATGCGGAACACATGCACCTTGTGGAGTGTAATCGCTAAGCATTAATGCTACGAATGATCAGACTCCAAATTTTTCGGCAATTAGAAAACTTTTTAAAAACCTAATTATATTCCTTCCTTAAGTATAAAATATAAAAAGGACGTGATTCTCTATTGACTGACTAAAAGAAAGCATATTTTTGTCGTGGTTTCTATAAAATACATTTGAATTTCCAAGACCACCGAAAATCAATGGGAAAAATGCATGCTACTTAAGTAGTCATTTTTACCGAGCACGCTTTCTACAGAAGATTGAAAAGAAGTGCATTTAAAAGCCGACATCCTGCAAAGTCCAAAATGTTATAAGAGTATGCCTTAAGATAATCGGTAGCACAACCGCGACCAAGTAATCCTTCCTATTCGAAAACGCATTTCAGAATTTCAGCCAACATTTCATGAGATAGGTCACGCACTGTAAGTGGGGATCGGATGTCCAGCCACCTCCCTAAACTTTATTCTGGGACCTCTTGTTTTGAATAGATTTATTTCAGCATTTCGTTAGCTTACTAAGCCAAAATAGGGCACGAATGCGGTTTTAATATATTCTTGTTCATAAACCTCCCGAGTTTTTTTTATCTTGAAATGCCCCCCCCCTTAAAAACCCCGATTACCACCATTATGGGCATCTCTTAATATACATGGATTTATTGTGGCACTTGTTACCACAGTAAAACAAACGTACGGCACAAATACTATTTTTATCTCTCCCCCTACTTCAGACCTACACGTTTTCCGGCTTGATAGGCCCCACTCTTAAAAACCCTAGTTACCAACATTTCAGAATTACAGGTGCCCTCGCCCATAGTTTAGGTGGAGGGGGGGGGGCATATATCCAATACTGTCAAAAAGTAAGACATCGTTACAAATGGGAGTTTTTGGATAAGATGTGGTTTAGTAGCCCCACCTGATGGACACAATACTGTTGGCGTTAGGGGTTAAGGTTAGGGGTAGGGTTAAAGGTTAGGACTAGCGGTTTGGGTTTAGGATAAGGGATTAAAATTAGGGGTTAGGAGTTATCATAACTATTCCTCAACCATTGAAAGTGCAATCACACTCCCAATAGCTTTTCTTTTG